GCGCCCGCGCGGGCCCCGGCCGCCTGGCTGCTGCTGGCCGGGCTGCTGTGTGGCGGCGGGGTCTGGGCCGCGCGAGGTAAGCTTTCGGGCTGGGTCGGGCGCGGGGTTCCCGGGTCAGGGAGCTGGGGTCCGGGTCGGGGCACAGAAGGCCGCGGGCGCGCGCTTCACCGCCTTGGGAAAACCAGGATCGGTCCGGGGTCGGGGGCGCCAGGGCCTGGGCCGCCCTCTTTGCTGCCTGGGGAGGTGGCTGTGCGGATTGGGAGGGGGTGCATGCAGAAGGGCTGAGGTGTCGGTTCCCGATCATCAGCAGCGCACGCAGGCGGGGATGCACCTCGGGGTGCGATGCTCTGTACGTGTGTTGTGTGCTCAGAGGTGCAGAAGGCGGGAGGGGGGTGCATGCACAATTTTTGTGTGTGCTTACATAAGAAGCCACTCCTCCGCATCCCTCTCCCAAGACCCTGAGCCCCCGCTGCTGCGCGGCGGACACTGCACCTTCTCTCCTGGCCACCTTCCCTGGCCACCTCCCCCCAGGGGACTTTAAACGCCTGTTTTCAAAAGAGCAGTGGTGGAAACTTCTTGCTCCCCGCTCCTCCCCTTGCACCCTAAGGTCAAATTGTGATGAGGTCTACGGCAGCGGTCTCACGATGTTAGAAATCTTCGTGTCCCCAGCCCTGGACGCCTTGATGCAGTTTTTCTGACAGTAATTAGATCGTGCGGGAGCTTTGCTGGCCTCAACGGAAACGAAACCCCTCGTTGATTCCTTGGGGTTGTAGGACCGACGTTATTCTATAATTACCTGGCAAAAAAGATTCCTTGGTGAATTGATTATTTATTTTACCTTCAGCGATTTGACCTTTTCAAAGTTACATGCTTTCTGATATTGATTGATCTTGCCAATGAAAAGCTTACGCATTGCAGATACATGCCTCTGAAGGGATCTTGGACTCGTAAACATTTTCCTTATTCTTGGACCAAAGTAATCTAGGTGTAGTCTATAGAATATCTGAATTTAGTCTTATGATTTAAAAAAAAAAAAAATTTAAAAAAAATAAGGAGGGGGAGGTTCACAGAAGCCTCGATGAGCCTCATTTCAATTTAGCAATTTAAAATTCTCTTTTCCTTCTTGGCACAGCATATTGAGACAAGGATGGTGTTCACAAATTAAAGGGCAGAAGAGGCAAAATGCATCTTTTGTTCAATGTTCCTTTCTTAACAGCCAGGATGATAAAGTTTGAATACTTCATTCAAATCTTTTCTAAAATTCTTTTGACTGTGCCACATTTTCAGATCTGATTCACTAAGTATCTAATTGTGCTCAGTTTACAGTTTGCTTTTTAAAAGTTACATCAGGCTAAATCTCACATTCTTTCAGATGTGAGATTGAGGTATGAAAAGCTAGTGTAGCCAAGAACAAAAGCCAGCAATATCTGTCAGAATTTTGTCTGTCTTGATGAAGACCCACACGTTTTAAAGTATTTGCTTAGATTGGGCATTTTGGGAGCAGGTCAAGTATGTTTAGTTTAGTCAGTGACATTTTAACATTTCTTGTTAAAATCCATGTTTTCTTAAGTTTGCCTATTCATCCACATTTGCTATTCATTATTGAATTACTTTGTACACTTAAATAGCATAAATTTCAACTGTCCAATGCTTTTTCATTATGATGGACTAAAATATTACGTGAAAGATACAGTGAGTTTCGAATTCTCCATAATTAGCTTACTTTCCCTAAGCTTTTCTTGCAGCTGTTATTGTACCTCAGGATTCTAGACTTCAAAATAAAAACACATTTTAAACATCAGTTACTCTGTTGCATTTTTTGTTTTTTTCAGTTTGCAAGTTAGAAAATATCTCACTAATATTACATGAAATGCTAGTGAAGTGATATTTGAAATGTTACAGGTGAATTTTTTATTTAAATATGCAATTTGTGGAGATACTTTTGTTTCAACTAATAGCTGTTTTTTTTTTTTTTTTTATTGCTGCAGGGAATATGACATTATGAACTGCTTTTCATACTCTAGCTATCTCTAATAATTATTCATGGGGTAAAACTCACATACACATCATGCTGGAGAGAATGATAGAGTTTGTGGCATAAATTGCATTTTGCCTCTTAAAACCAAACTCACTGCCATGGAATTGGATCCAACTCATAGCAACCCTCCTTAGGTTTCCGAGGCAGTCTCACTATTAAAGTAGATTGCCCAACCTTCCTTCTGAGGAGTGGCTGGTGGGTTTGAATCACCAGCTTTCTGGTTAGCAGTCAAGTGCCTTAGGCACTATGCTACCACAGCTCCCTTTTGCCTCTTAAGTAGTTGTTTATGCAGAACCCTGCATCTCACTTTAGTAGTCCTGATACTCGTGATAGTTTAAAAAAGAAAAAAAAAAAATGAAGTAAAGAGAACTGTTTGGACAAATACCCTAGGCATATGTTCATTCCCTGGATGGTTGGTCCTGTCTGCACGCTGCCTGGTTTCTCTCCATTGACTCAGTGATCAGCAAATAGAACAAATACAGGAAATAGGAATCTGCCTTTCCCTACTCCACTTTTTCTTTTTCCCTCACCTTTTTCCATTCTAACATGCTTTATTATTTATATTCTGTTTGTCTCCCCTCACTGGAATGCAGCCCCAAGGTGAGAGGGTTTTTTGGGGGCTGTTTTGTTTACAGGTATAGCCTGTCAGTCCAGCTGTCTTAGTGATCTAGTGTTTCTATAACAGAAATGCTGTAAGTGATTGGGTGGCTTTAAGAAACACAAATTAATTTTCTCATTCTGGAGGCTAGAAGTCTGATTTCTGACTTCTGGGTCTAGGGGAAGGCTTTTTCTGTCCACTCTGGAGGAAGGTCCTTGTCTCTTTTCAGCTTCTAGTCTAGGTTCCTTGGGAATTGTGTGGCATGTATTTTCCCCTTTGTACTTGCTTAATCTGCACTTTCATATCCCAAAAGAGATTGATGTAAAAGACACCATAGACTAATACTGCTACATTACCATGACAAAGAAAACCTGGTCCCAAATGGGATTATAACTACAGGTATAGGGATCAAGGCTTACAACACATATTTTTTGGGGACGCAGTTTTGTCTATAACACCAGCCATGCCAGAAACACAGTATTTGCTGGGTGACTGAACGAATGGACAGCTATAACTAACTGGGTTTCAGTTTTGGCAACATAATATTTTTATATCCTAATATTCACCTGACAGGTGAATGCTATATGCTGAAAAACTATTACAGGCATAGAATATCAGCAAACTTCAACTTTGCAGTACAGACATGGGACTTCATTAGCAGATAATTGCCAAGGATTCATTCTATTGATTGCAGTATTGGGGATTTTAGGCCATAAAAATCTATGTTCATCTTTAAAGACTGTAGCTCTGTGGCCACCACTCTGGATCCATCAAAGAAAAGAATCTTGTAATTCCCAAATTGCTTGAAAATGATTTCCTTAATTTGTTACCTGCTTTCCAGAGGCAACTTTGAGGAAAAAGTCATTTGAATATAGACTTCAGAATTACTCAATCTAACATTTTTTTTTTTTTGCTGGAAATAAATATCACTTCACATGAGACCTATAGCTCCTAAGAAACAATAAAATATTACTAATTATGAATATATTCCAGTTGACGAACTGTAAAAATCATTGAAATGACACCTGCAGTTAGCTGGAAATCAACTTTGGATTGCATACTTCTTTTGGAAAAAAAAGCCTAAAGCCAGTCTCATAGGAATTATTTTTCAAAAGGAAGACTTAAGATCTCATGTCATATACTATCTGTGTTAGTACTAAATTTTTGAGCCAAAAAAGTACCAACTAATATTTCAGTTTCACACATGGCAAATATGAACAATAAGTGAAATGGATATAAAATATGAAGTATATTTTTTGCACTGAAATTAGAAAATGTTGTAATTTCACAACACTAGTCTCAGTACTTGGTTAAGTTTATTAAACTAATTCTTAATGTTTGTAATGAGGAATCTGAGGTATGTTAAGATTTTAAAGCAAGGAGGAAAGTATTCTTTCTCTTACAGCTTTTTAAGACAGGAAGATGTAATTTTTTGAATCAAATTTTCATGTATAAGCATTGAAACAAAATAAAGCTGTTAAGTCGATTCTGACTCATGGCGACCCTTTGAGTTACGGAGTAGAACTGTGCTCCACAGAGATTTCTTAGCTGTAACCTTTATGGAAGTGGAGCTGCTGAGTGGGTGTGAACCACCAACCTTTAAATGAGTAGGCGAGCACAAACTATTTGAGCCACTAGGAAGGGCTGCCTGAAACAAAATAGGTCCGATTATTCTGAAAATCATCGGTTGATTTACTTGGAGAAGGATTGCTTGAAGAAATGTGCTTTTTTTTTTTTTTTTTTTTTTTTATTAGGATTTGGGTGAAGATTTACAGAGTAAATTCACTTTTCATACAGCAGTTCACATATACTTTGTCTCATGTCATTGACCAAAATTTACAATGCAGCAGCTCCCCTCCCACTTCCTCCCCATAGTTACCTCCTCCCAGTGTCCATCCCTTCATACTCTTCTGCACCCTGAGAGGCCCATTGTCTGCCAACCCTGTATATGATCTTGGATACACTCTCCATTTAGACATACATAATTGTTTAGCTTGTTCACCCATCTATCCGTCCCTATACCCATGTTTGCTTTCATTGACAACTCAGTGTTGTATTTGCAAAGGGGTTCATATTTGTTGTTTGTACTGCCCATGTAACTCTCTCTGTCTTTCTCATCCTCAATGCTGCCATATTGGTCACTCACATTTGGTACATTGCCCTTCTCTTCACCCAAATCAATATTTATCTCTATCTATCTAACAGCATTCCCTCCCCTTCCCTCCCACCCCTGGTAACCAACAAAGAAAATGTCCTCCAATATATAAACCTTTCCTTAACTTTTACAATAACGGACTAATACAATATTTGTCCTTTTGTGACTGACTTATTTCGCTCAGCATAATGTCCTCCAAGTTCATCCACGTTATGCGGTGTTTTGCAGATTCTACATTATTCTTTAGCGTTGCATAGTATTCCATTGTGTGAATGTACCAAAGTT